CTATTACACTCAAAATTCATTGATTGATGGGAACGACACACTGTAACAGCGAGGAGCTGAAAGAGAATGGCGTCAAACCACACTTGAGGTTCATAGACAGACATATATAGCTTTAAGAAACAACCTCCTCCTCATTGATTGGGGATCAGGTATAACATACTGTTCTAGGTGTATCAATCAATGCATCCATTGAAACTGTACAAAATGAAACTGTAGGTGTATTGGCTGATTCAACGAGGAATATATGTGTATACCTTTATTCTACGCCAATCCGAGCTATTAAATATGTGTTTACCTTTGCTTTTTAGGTGACCAAGTAACTTAAAGGACATAAAATATTCATTCTGTATGACTTCATCGCCGCTCACTAAAGTTGCAGTGGCTTGACAATCAGAAACACTCTTGGACTCAATTCAGTTCAAGAAATGTGAGCATGTATTTACGTGAAGGGTATTTACATGGCAAGGCAAGTGCAGGAGTGTTATTGTGAACCATATTTACACTTATACGTGATAAGGAGAGGTTTATTAGTGACTCTACCGACGGTTGTAACCCAGGAATTCATGCAACCAGACCGGAACTGGGGTATAATTTCCTATACTGTTCTGTTTAATATCCATTCAAAATACAAATATTATAGTGTTTGATATGTTTAATGTGACAGTGCATGTATCATTTAAACAAGGAAAGGATTTGATTAAAAGTTACATGATAATAATAATGGGCCGTATGTGCAGCTGTTTGGATCCGTTGGTTGTAGGTTAAAACTCAAGATCAGGGACCGATTGTAATCCGTTGTCTGTTTACAAGCACCAAACCCGACATGTATATTCATTTGCGTAGATCGCTGCTCATGATATCAATCACTGGATTGTCTGGTCCAGATTCAATTATTTACAGACCGCTGTCTTATAGCTAGAATAATGCTGAGTGCGGCTTTAAACAACAAACAGACAGACAAGATCCCATCTGTGTGGGATAGAATGGGTTTATTCCAATTCTGATTTTGTTGCCCTTTCCAGTTTATGCATTCTACCAATGACATTACGCTCTGGGTAAACGCACCCTGAAAGACATTCAACAGGTTCAGCTTCAGTTTTGGCCCATTGTTTGGCATGTGTTCGACAGCATCCATAATCGTTTTAAAGTTAACGCTATGCATTCATGGACTGGTCGTCTCGGAATCAGGGGTATTCATGTTAATCTGCGGAAGGGTATCTCAGTGGGCTAGCACTATACACTGGTACAACCACCCACACCACCGAGCCACCCTACCCACCCCTCCACCCCTCCACACACACACACACACACACACACACGCCATCCCCATACATGTGCGCGTACACACATACACACACGTGCATGTACGTCTCAAAATAAGTGCTGGAAAGCGACGTTAAACCCCATTTCACCTCGCCTCGCCTCTTTACCAAAACTTGGAGCACGGGTGGCCTAGTTGTCTTAAGCGTGCAGAGTTACGGCCTTTGGGCTAACTGGGTGCCTGCCTTCCACATCGCCACGCTGTGATAAAACTGGAATACTGTTCAAAGCGGCGTTAGACCAAGGCTCACTCACTCACTCACTCACTCACTCACTCACTCACTCACTCACTCACTCACTCACTCACTCACTCACTCACTCACTCACTCACTCACTCACTCACTCACTCACTCACTCACTCACTCACTCACTCACTCACTCACTCACTCACTCACTCACTCACTCACTCACTCACTCACTCACTCACTCACTCACTCACTCACTCACTCACTCACTCACTCACTCACTCACTCACTCACTCACTCACTCACTCACTCACTCACTCACTCACTCACTCACTCACTCACTCACTCACTCACTCACTCACTCACTCACTCACTCACTCACTCACTCACTCACTCACTCACTCACTCACTCACTCACTCACTCACTCACTCACTCACTCACTCACTCACTCACTCACTCACTCACTCACTCACTCACTCACTCACTCACTCACTCACTCACTCACTCACTCACTCACTCACTCACTCACTCACTCACTCACTCACTCACTCACTCACTCACTCACTCACTCACTCACTCACTCACTCACTCACTCACTCACTCACTCACTCACTCACTCACTCACTCACTCACTCACTCACTCACTCACTCACTCACTCACTCACTCACTCACTCACTCACTCACTCACTCACTCACTCACTCACTCACTCACTCACTCACTCACTCACTCACTCACTCACTCACTCACTCACTCACTCACTCACTGCGTCGGGTGATCAGGCTTGGTGATTTGGTTCATCGTCCTCCGGTCTGGCGCTCGGCATTAACGGAGTCAGTGTACTGTGTCTGAGTGGGGTATTCATGTTAAACTGCGGCATGGTATCTCAGTGAGCTAGCACTGTAAATCGGCAACAGTCCGGACTAGTACAAGCAGCCACACAAACACATACACGTACATGCACGTCGCTATATAAGTGCAATAATCTTGGACGCGACGTTAAACCCAATTTCACCTCACCTCACCTTATCGTCCTCCGACAGCCTAGATGGTGGGTGGCTCACTGGTTTGTCTGGACAAGTTCCGATAACTTACAGCCCGCGATCATGGAGCGGGGCATCGCCTCAGTTGTCACTACCGTTAGAGACACGTGTACAACACCTTTGTGCGGGGTGCGGGGCTGGTTGGAATGTAAGGTGTTTGAAAAAACAACAACTACAATCTCATTGTCACCGGGTCATAAAATGGTCTTGTCACGTTCTAGCGACCACACAGCTATCCGGCTTTTATTGTCCAATTTCCGACATCGTTCGGCAAAGTCCGGCTGTCGTCGTTGATCAGTGTCTTTGCTTTCTTTGTTGGAGAATTAATTACCATTATATTTTGTTCCCAGGTGATTTAATGGCACACTCTTACCATTTATAGACTTGATGTATGTTATCTCATTTATGTTTGCTGCCTTATTCATGTTTTGAAATTGTTTTTGTGACTATGATTTTGAAACATTAGGGGAAGATCCATGTAGTTACAGATGTTTCGAATGTATTTATGCTCGTTTTTGCCTCCTCAATAATTGTACATAGCTTGTTGTAAATAGTTAATCATACCGTTGGATAGCTAATGTTCAGAGCTTCATTTTGATACTATATCTTCCGCTTGGATATAGTAGTTAGTTTGCTAGTTGTGTTTAACCCATGTTAAGAAACACACTTTGGCTAAGCGCTAAGACAACTGATGTAATTACTACGTTTGTATGTGTTGGATATAGAATACTACAGTTCTATTATTAAAGTTCGTATTCGACTGAATGAATTGCCTGGAAATAATATACAGTTAACTACGGTTATAACGAAATCAAAGGGACCACCAATTTTAATTCGTTATATACGTTGTTCGTTATACGCATATGTACAGCATACATACATGTACATCAAATGGACGGGACCAAGAGTTCATTTTATCCGTAAGTTCGTTATAGGCATGTTTGTTATAAACGTAGTTTACTGTTGTCTTTTACAGATTTAATAAGCTAGAATAATTGTACAATTTAGTTAATACAAGTTGAAGAGTGACCGTAAACGTTTTCTGTAAGACTGTACCTTTTCACATTTCGAAATTATTCGTTTGAAAGTCATGTGTTTTGTGTGTAATTTATGGCTGTGAAACATGTATAGGCCATCCCTAAGTTCCAACGTGTAGCACAAGTATCACTGACTGAAGGGACAACAGAGGAGGTCCCCCACGTCCAACGTGTAGTACAAGTATCACTGACTGTAGTGACAACAGAGGCGGTGCCCCTCGTCCAACGTGTAGTACAAGTATCACTGACTGTAGGGACAACAGAGGCGGTGCCCCACGTCCAACGTGTAGTACAAGTATCACTGACTGTAGTGACAACAGAGGCGGTGCCCCTCGTCCAACGTGTAGTACAAGTATCACTGACTGTAGTGACAACAGAGGCGGTGCCCCACGTCCAACGTGTAGGACAAGTATCACTGACTGTAGTGACAACAGAGGCGTTCCCCCACATCCAACGTGTAGCACAAGTATCACTGACTGTAGTGACAACAGAGGCGGTGCCCCACGTCCAACGTGTAGTACAAGTATCACTGACTGTAGTGACAACAGAGGCGGTGCCCCACATCCAACGTGTAGCACAAGTATCACTGACTGTAGGGACAACAGAGGCGGTGCCCCTCGTCCAACGTGTAGTACAAGTATCACTGACTGTAGTGACAACAGAGGCGGTGCCCCACGTCCAACGTGTAGTACAAGTATCACTGACTGTAGTGACAACAGAGGCGGTGCCCCTCGTCCAACGTGTAGCACAAGTATCACTGACTGTAGGGACAACAGAGGCGGTGCCCCACGTCCAACGTGTAGTACAAGTATCACTGACTGTAGTGACAACAGAGGCGGTGTCCCACGTCCAACGTGTAGTACAAGTATCACTGAATGTAGTGACAACAGAGGCGGTCCCCCACGTCCAACGTGTAGTACAAGTATCACTGACTGTAGTGACAACAGAGGCGCTCCCCCACGTCCAACGTGTAGTACAAGTATCAGTGACTGTAGTGACAATTGAGGCGTTCCCCAAAGTCCAACGTGTAGTACAAGTATCACTGACTGTTGTGACAACAGAGGCGGTCCCCCACGTCGCACGTGTAGTACAAGTATCACTGACTGTAGGGACAACAGAGGCGGTGCCCCACGTCCAACGTGTAGTACAAGTATCACTGACTGTAGTGACAACAGAGGAGGTCCCCCACGTCCAACGTGTAGCACAAGTATAACTAACTGTAGTGACAACAGAGGAGGTCCCCCGCGTACAACGTGTTGCACAAGTATCACTGACTGTAGTGACAACAGAGGAGGTCCCCCGCGTACAACGTGTTGCACAAGTATAACTGACTGTCGTCACACACACACACTTCCAAAGTGTTGTGCAGGTACCACTGACTGGGGTGTTAACAGAAAACAATTCAAGAATTCAAATTGTAGAAAAATACTTTTATTGTTGAAGGTTGAAATGGATTTGTCTAATTACAGTGTAGAAAAGTAGTCGATATGATATGTATTATATGGACAAACAAACTTAAAAAAACATATTAAATATACACCAAGCACTGGTACACATCTTTAATATGCCTTTCTCCCTTTTTGTGAAAAGAAACACATCAGTTACCTTTGTTGGTCGGAAGAATAAGCATTATACATTACGGGTTATAAATGTACAGACACTGGAAGAAAGTTACAAAATATGAAGCTCTTGTCACCGACAAATATTGCTGCCATGAGATGAAGCGTTCGATACGTAAGTGATGATATTGTGTAACAGCATGTGGGATATGTGATAGCATTTGAATTTCGTAACGTTCTTTTATGGTGCTAATTATATAATTGGGTATTGGGTTATCTTCGAAAGCTTGAGGGTGGAAACTGCCCTTGGTAGGGAAAAGGTAGCTCCTTGTTGGGGCAGTTACACTCGATTATAAACCACCTTGTTGGGGCGGATATACTCCACCTTGTGGGGCTGGGTATGCTGCACTTTGTGGGGATGGGTATACTCCACCTTGTGGGGGTGGGTATGCTGCACCTTGAGGGTGTGTTCCCTGCATCTCTGGAGAATAGGCTGGTGGGGCGTAGTTTGGAGGAGGCGGGTATGTCCCTGGAGTCGATTGAACCGGGTAGCCATACCCAGGAGTATATGCTGTGTTTGTTGTGCCTGAAAAGGGAATAGAATCATTAAGCTAACGAGTGGGTGAGTGAGTATGGTTTAACACCGCTTTTAGCATATTCCAGCAATAGCATGGCTTCAACCACTTGGCTACCCGACCGCCCCAGCTAACGAGTGAAACAATAATCAACTCCATAAGGGTACAATGTCACGCATGATTGATGCCATCAGGGTACGAGAACACGTGATCATTGTATTCAGGGTACGAGGACACATGTGATCCATGTCAACATAGCACGGTGCCACATATTCAGCTAGGTCTCAGGAGGTCGTCCGTCTCCTCACCCACAGCACAACAGGACCCAGAATCACAATCTGTACGATGTGTTAATTATTAAACAGGAAAAGTTATAACATACAACCTTCATACCCGTACACACGTAGCTTGAAGTTAATACACTTGGTTGCTGTACACTACATACAAGACTCAAGACTCTTTTATTCTGTAATAATACACTCCATACACATTTTAATAATGTGTTTAGTAATTCAACCAGCTGAAAATACATAGGTCTAAAATTAAGCGTTGTGTGTGACGCATTGTCTGGCACACCTTGTGATGGCGACCAAGTGAACCAGATGAAGAGTTGGTAAAATACCATTCCCACCAACGTCTACGTGTATCCTTCTCAATACTGTGATATCCTCAAACATGACACCTTGTTGGTTGACTTTGTGTTGTGCATTGTCTCCACATCTCTTGAGCAACCCTAGTGGATAGACTGTATCTGTAAATCAGCCTGATTATATATCATTGGATACGTGCAAATATGGAGGACCAGTTGAATAACCTAGCGGAGGGTTTTGGTAAAATCAATCGATTGTCATACCTGATACTACGGTCAGTTGTTGTTGGTCTTGCACTACGTGACCTCTTCGTACTTGTGATGACCTACAACAGCAGACACAGCAGATGATGATTCCCACAATGAGACCGATGAACGCGAGGACTCCAATGACGATGCCGACAATAGCTCCTGTGGTCCACGTATAGGATTTGGTGTAGTAGCTGGTGCTGAAACACAGTGATCACGGTCAGGATCAGAGATACCATTGTGGTCTTGAACTACACATACTGACAACTGGTATCGACCTCACCATGGACACTATCTTATCAAACGTTGGATTTGTCATTGAAGTACGCCCAACTATGAATATAATCACATGGAGTGAAGGAATACCCGTATAACTGGATTTTAATTAACTCTCATTTGTTCACCTCAAATGTACATACATGCATCTATCTTATATAATGTGTATGCATGTTTATGTGTTAATTCAGTTCTGTGTGATCTGCGATTCTGTGGTTCCTCCACGTTTCTCAAGTTTTGTACATTTTGTAAAGGTCACAGACCCATGCAAATTGTACTTACTTGTCAAAGAAAATTAATTTGCTCAACTGACTCGTTTTCGTGGATATACCTCTATGACATGTAATATCTTCAACAAAGGATTTCACTTTTACGCAATTCTCTCATCACATCACAAAATTAGTAGTAGTCATACATTATGGCTGAGCGAACTTCAGTCCAATACATCAAGTATTTCAAATGCATATATCAATTATATATCGGGAACGGTTGTTAAAACAGTTAGCACACATGCATCAAATAAATTGCAATCCCTGGGCATGGATGACCTTTTGAGGGAAAACCTTTCGGTTGATGTTAAACGGTTTTAAGTCCATCCCACACGATGTGTTTATGTGACAAAAGTTTTAACTGCATAAAATGTTGTTTCGAATAGATAAAACTTTAATGAGCAATACACAAACATCTTCGCAAAAGCTTGACAACATCTCCGCTGGTCATGAACTACGTGTTGGGTAATATATTTCAAGTACAACCAGCGGAGTGTTATTTATATCCACGAGCTATTCAGCTCGCATTCAGCTCTGACGGTATTTATGTGTTGTGTGCGGCCATACCTTAGTCAAGGACTGGGTGTTATATAAACTGGTTATTAAAGACTGACCTCGAGCTACAACAGTACTAAATGCTAGGTGTAACCATACTTTATTTCATACAGAGCCGAGTGTTATATACACCACATATTGAAGACTCACCTCGATCTATAGCAATAGTTACTGCTGTGTAATTGTTATATACACCAGCTGATGAAAATTCACCTCAAGCTACAGCAATAGTTACTGCTGTGTAATTGTTATATACACCAGATACTGAAGACTCACCTCGATCTACAGCAATAGTTACTGCTGTGTAATTGTTATATACACCAGCTGATGAAGACTCACCTCGATATACAGCAATAGTTACTGCTGTGTAATTGTTATGTACACCAGCTAATGAAGTCTCACCTCGATCTACAGCAATAGGTACTGCTGTGTAATTGTTTTATACACCACCTCGAGCCATAACAAACCTTACTGTTGCGTAATTGTTATGTACACAGGTACCGAAGACTCACCTCGAGCTACAACAGTACTTTGAGTTAGGGCAGGTCTTTGTCTTATAAGTCCCGTCGTATTGTTTCTCGGTGCATATTAGAAAGGCATAAGCTGCAAATGATCAAGAAAATCAAAACATTGAATTAAAGAGGTGTGTACATTGTATGACTCATGTGGCCATGGTAGATCTCGACATGGCAAGTAAAGTAGAAGCTGTTGCGCGGCTATTCATAAGCTTATTTACTTCAACATGGCGCAACAATTATTGACTTTCTATTACAAAACGTAAAGTGATCCATCACACACGTGTCATGAAAAGCATCTGCTTAGTCATGTCAATCTGGGAATATTAATATCACAAGTTCACAAGACGTGGTTACTGACGTTGTAAGGGTAACCATATTATTCAGGGCGTTGTCAGTCAGGTCAGCCTGACGAGGAGAGCAGATGGACAAACCGAGGGGTTTCTTAAAAAAGGAGTTACAGTTACAGTCATAGCTAAAATGGCTGGCATGTGTCCCTACCATGGTAATATCCCTAAACAAACCCAATAAAATCAAACAACAACGCATTGTAAGTTATTCACACAAACAATATCGATCAGTTATAATTATTAGGTCAGTGTGACACTGGCCAGGAAACACCTCGTGAACAGTAATAGATAGTAGTAGGGGTAGTTTTATCATAATTCTAATCCATTATAACTACAAATGCAGATAATGCAACAGCTGCTACTAAACTAATAATACTAGGTTCCCATTACACGGGTGTACATAACAGTGTAATGGACCTATGGCCATTCTCTGATGGACGAGGGACCGTTCCCCAAAACAGAATTAGGTCAGGTAAAGTTTAACCACAGAGGTTAAACTAATTAAGTTTACGTTTGTCTGGAGTGATACTAGTTTTACAAAGTAACCTTACATCGATCTTACTTCGATCTTGACTCGCTATGCCAACCTTTCTGTTATGGTTGTTTTGTGGAAGAGGCTTTCAGACCTGGGCCCGTCTGCAGGGCAGTGTACACTTAGATGGAGAAAACCCGCTTGCCATTAAGTCAGCGTGAAAATATCTTGTTAACTCATACTTACAAAATGTTACCAAGGTAAGGATAACACATCCGATTCTTACACCACCCATGGTACCAAATAAGACCATCAATGTTTGAAGACTGTTAGATGACAGTTAAAGAAGTGTATTGACTATCCACGGGTTGGCCTGTATGTAGGCCACGGGCAGGCAATGAGACATGACACACTTGCAAAACAGGTGTGACAATGAAGGCCTGCCGAGGCGGATCTAGAGATTGCTGACAAGCAGCTGATCATATTTTGTACAGCTAAAATATATTCATAAAAACTGGGTTCACGTTTACATCAAATATTTTGAAGAAAACATATAAGCTGATGTTTCCAAATGCTTCAGCTGTTTAAGTGAATCACCCTAAATATCTTGAACAAATAATGTTATGAGGTTTCCAACCTGCACACCTGAAATGTAGGTGTATATGTATATGACGTAAATACTAAAATAACAGGCTACCATGGTGATATGAACATCGTAATAACTCAACTCTTTTGTAAACCGGATCCGATCTGGAGAATATGACACCTCTTTCAGAAGTAGGTGAGCTCGAGGTGAGGTGAAATGGGGTTTAACGTCGCGTCCAAGATTATTGCACTTATATAGAAAGTGACGTGCATGCTCGCGTGCTTGCGTGCGTGCGTGCATATGTGCGTGCGTGCGTGCGTGCGTGCGTGTGTGAGTGTGTGTGTGTGTGTCTGCTTGTACAAGTCCGGACTGATGCTGATTTATAGTGCTACCACATTGAGATACCATGCCGCAGTTTAACATGAATACCCCAATTAGACACAGTACTCAGAGCCGACTAGTCCTTGTTTTAGCCCTTAATGCCGAGCGTCAGACAGGGTAACAACAAGTACCATCTTTAAACGTCTTTTGGTATGCCGCGGCCGGGGATCGAACACCGAACACTTTCCACTCTCCCATCAGTAGTAAAGTTTGCTTTTATTCTTGATATTGGGCTGCAACAAGCCAAATAGACAAGGATAAAGATAACAAATACATTACACCAGTAATAAAAAATAGTAGGCGACATATCCTTCCGATCCGTCTGCACGTACTGCACAAATGCATGGCGTCACAAAAAGGATGGAGCCATTATGAATAGGCCCAGATGCAAATCGTCGGCCCACAGCAGTAGACAGATCAGTCGGGTTATGGAGAGATCCTTTGTTTTTATGCAGTGAAGCAATTAGTCGTTCGAACCTTGAACAAATTCCACAGTTTTCTAAAACGAGCCAAGGATGTGGGACATAATCTCAATGTTGGTGTTTATTTTGTTGATGGTTCTGTACTGCTGGACGGTACAGAAATGAGTGTCAACCAAGCGAATTGCCATATCAAAACGGCCCAGACTCGAGGCCCAAGGAGAGGCTTTCTGAACGACCACTGCATCGAGTTTATGTGCAGTGTGTTGAGAAGATCAGCAATCCCGCAGAATCCTTCGCTTGGATAAAGTCGTCTGGCCTGAAAAGTGAAACAGAAGGCTTTCTGTTTGCTGCTCAGGACCAGTCATTTCAAACTCAAAACCGTCAATGGCTGTGTCACGTAACTTCCATTGACGAGGAAAAACGTGCGGCTTTTGGCTTTGAAGCGGATTATAAGTGATATATTTATACTCCCTCTCCGAAATCCACGTGCAGCCTAATTACTTGCTCTTGGCAGCGTGGAAAGATTTATTCCCCGCTGAGACATTTATTACCCTCCAGGGCGGGTGACATGGTATTTTAACAAGATCACGTGGACCAATCAGATCTCATCATTCTGAGATAGAAGTATGATAACAGTGCTTAAAGCTTCATGTGACCATATTTATTAGGTACACGGCCAAATGTTACGTACACCAGTAACATCACTTAATGCTGTGTGTGACCTTACTTTAGTACAGGACCGAGTTGTATTTCCACCAGATATTGAAGACTCACCTCGTGGAGCTACAACAGTACAAAAAACATAAGATTAAACAGATGTGTATAGTGTATGACTCTTGTAGTCATGATAGTGTGAGACCACTTGTTGCTACCGACATAGCAAATAGCTTTACGCCGCTTTTAGTAATATTCTAGCAATCACATGTTAAACCCTAAAAGTAGGTGCTTAGTCAAGTCAATCTTTGAATGCTAACAGTTATGACAAGTTCACAAGACGTGTTTACTGATGCTTTAAGAGTAACGCTATTCTTCAGAGCATTACCATTTGCAGTAGCCTGATGTCTGCCATTGACTGCCTGACGTAGGCAGCAGTTGAACAGAGTGAGATTTCCTTAAATAATAATGCCCTGGGTGATTGATGATCGTAAGCCTATGTTAAAGTATGGGAGTTACGATCACCTTAGCGCTAAGATCGCTTTGCACTCTGAAAAGTAGTGTAACCTTTATTATATCACAAAAGGATGATATCAGTCACTGGACTGTTTGGTCCAGGCTCGATTATTTACAGATGACGTCATACAGCTGGAATATTGCCTAGTGTAGCGTTAAACAACAACAAACCAACAATAATACCAAAGAATATTTTTAGAAAGTTATTCATTCACACGCAAATCACGAAATACTAAGGTCAGTGTGACACTGGCTTTAGAAACACCTCATCAGCAATAACAGGTAACTTGTTTGACGCTTTATCATAATTCAATCCATTTAGCTATGAATGCAGAAAATGTTACATAGGGTACTTCACTAATAATATTGTGTAACACGCATTCCTATTACTTGGATGTACACAACAGTGTTATAGGTCCATGGCCGTCCTCTTATGGACAGAGATACGTTCAACAAAACAGCCTGGGGTTAGGTTAAGTTTAACCACTAAGGTTAGAGCTAATGTTGTCTTTTTCTGAGTGAGTGAGTGAGTGAGTGAGTGAGTGAGTGAGTGAGTGAGTGAGTGATTGAGTTAAAATTTATAGTCACATCGGCAGTATTTCAGTGATATCGTGACTACCAAAGGTTATACCTAATATATACATTTAAACAATAAAAGCCTGTCAACAAAGGACAGTAAACTAACTAGAAGATCACAGAATATTATTTAAAACTAGTATACAGCCATGAAAAGATTTCACTATACCTAACGATACAATATAAATAAGGCTATAGATTGCCAGCAACTGAAGATAGATCACCTCACTAGGGACGATGGGGACTTACAGTACTTTTGCTACCTGCATGGACTCCAGCAGGTTTTACACCATCCCTTCAGGTGTTGGCGATGGCTGACACAATTAATCGAACATTAAAAAAAACACATATTCTACGATTAAAAACGTGGTAGCAATAAATACACTTTGAAAGTTATCAAATTTATTTTACCAATTATAAAAAACTATATTATATACAAAACATATCGATCAAAATTTAAGTAACAATTCAATTTCTTTTAAAAAGTCAATAATTAAACGAGCACTGATATTAAAAAGATCCTTTAAGGATGAAACTTTGAAATAGTTATCCCTTGTGATGGCAAAATCAACACAGTCAAGCAGGACATGCTTGACCGTGATTCTCTCATCACACGGGACACAAAATGGAGGATCCTCGCCTTTCAATATATATTCAAGAGTATATCTGCTATGGCCAATACGACATCGTCGCATTATGACCTCTTCAAATGTGGACTGACAAACCCAAGTAGGAACAGCCAATAGTTGGTTTAATTTCATGTAATTTATTTACAAATGTATACCCACTTGAGTGTCCCACTTCTTTTGCATTAGATCACGGATGTAAGATCTAATCACGGGTTTATAATCACTGTATGGAATAAGAAGTGGTGTCACAGATTTGTTGAGTGCTGTTTTTGCCTTTGTCTGAAGTGACACCACTTTCACAAAGCAACCTTATCTCGATCTTGACTCTGTTTTCCAACCTTAGCGCTGATGTTGTTTTGAGAAACTTTGGCCAGTTTACAGGGCAATGTTCACTTAGATGAAGAAAGCCCGTGTGTCATTAAGTCAGCATGAACAATATCTTGTTAACTCATACTTACAAAAAGTAATCAAGGTAAGGATAACACATTCGATTTGTACACCACCCATAGCAACTAATTGGACCGTCGATGTTTTAAGACTGTAGGATGGTATTTGAGGAAGTGTATTGACTATCCACGGGTTGGACTGAATGTAAGCCAAGGGCAGACAATGAGGCTTGACACACTTGAACAACAGGTATAACAATAAATGCCTGCAGAGGCGGATCTAGGATTATACTCAGATCGCGAGGCCTATAACCAGCAATTGTTCATTCAAACCAATCAGAACAATAATTACATATTTTGCGTTGTTAAAACAATTTATTTTTTTAATATGCTTATTTCATCTGTAAACATATAACGGACATGTGAGTAGATAAGGGAACTTCACCTTGTGTCGCCAAGATCTGTAGTGACACATGTACATCTACCTCCATATCTCCCCATATACCTATCGCCATTCATTTTGGAAAACCATGTGAACAACATCTGAAAAAAATGTATACCATGTAATAAGGAATATCAGACCAACATATGGTATATTGGCAAAGACATAGTCGGGTTGGTGGCTTTCTCCAGGCATTTGTCAAAATCGTTTTGTCTCCTGCCTGGTCTTCAGGAAAAGCATCTGGACAAGCTACAGCGTGTGCAAAATTCAGCTGCTAGGCTTATCATACGTTGTCGAATGTGCGACCCATCCTCCAAGATCTACATGGGCTACTAGTGAGACAGAGAATTATGTTCAAGCTGCTGCTGCTGGTATGTGTCTACAAATCACTCAATGGTCTGGTTGCAGTGTACCTACCAACCTGAACGGGCATTACGATCTGCATTCCAACAACCGATAGTGGTGCCACCAGCCCAGAAACAACGTATGGAAACAGAACTTTTAGCAGGGCTGGCGCTGCTCTATGGGAAGAGCTTCCATTCGATGTCATGAGATCCAAGGTGGTCACCAGCTTCCGGTCAACCCTCAAGACTATCCTCTTGAAAAGAGCATATGACTGAGCGCTCTTGAACAGGAACTATCTGGTTAAAATGCACTGTATATATATATATATATATATATATATATATATATATATATATATCTATATCTATATATATATATATATATATATATATCTATACTTTATAATTATTTCTGTTTATTAACCTGGACATCAATATGCATAAGATTTCTGTGCATCCATTTTATACATTCGTTTCCCTGTTTTCTTTATCGTTTCTGT